ATAGATTGGAGTCCTGCAGACAAAATAGCACAGGTGCCTGCCCAGCCATCATTCCACTACATCAATTTTATGGCAAAACAGAAAAGAAAAACCATTTTAAACCTATACAACTATAAAATAAGTGTCTTTGTCATAGAGGCCTTATTTTATTTCTAAATCCACTTAATAGTTGTTGAGGATGCAGAGGGGTAAAGTGAAATGCCAGGCTATTGTTCACTGGGCAGTGAGAACATTTCACTAATGGAGATTTGTGAAAATTAATATTAAAATAATGTAACAAAGCTACATTTGGAAATATAGCCAGTGATAATATGGAAAGTGAAATAAACACTTTGGTAAGGCGAGCGGCTAAAAAGATAATGCTTGGAGTGCACGGTTATATGCGAAACCAACAAAAGGAAGAAGCAAGTGTTTGCAACACTGTTTGGAAACAGTAACAACAACATTCCCTCCCAAACTGCATTTGACACCAGTGATTATGTGGGTTTTGACATGCTGCCCAGCAGCACTAACTGCCAAGCGGCCTTTTCCCAACAATGCACCTCCAAACACTGCACAGAATACAGTCTCTCATGTAATCTGAACGGCAATGATTTTCACATTCCCACAACTATTCTAAACTACAAACCAGCCGTTATAATGAATTAACCAAAAGCCCCAACAAAACAAGCAGTGAAAAATCATTTTAGGTTCTAACAATTGCAACACTGAACCTTATTCACATTTCAACCCCGTGTGAACAAAACATGGATTCATTGTAATATGCCAAACAACAAATCTGTTCCACAACAACTAAAAGGAAATTCCTAATTAGTATAAACAAACATATAAGTAAAGACAACACACGGGTTTAAGTTATAATAGTAGAGACACTTGGCCCATGTTGTAGCAGGAGGCATACAGGTGTTCCTAATAACATTAATGATGGCCCTGCTCCAGTCAGCTGTTGTCTAGGCCAAGTCTGCCTGAACAATACCAAGACCCTGATAGTGAGGCAGATAGACGAAATTCGGCCTTCATTGTTTTTATTAATTGCACCTGCGCATTTCCTACCGTGATGTCAGATTGTCTGCTCTGAAAAAGGTCACTAAGAACAGAAACTAGCCACCAGAAAACATCCTGCTCCTGGTGGTTGTGGCGGCTACCTTAAGTCTACCTTAAAACATAAGCAGCAATTCAAGTAGCTACTCACTTTGTTCCGAAGCAAGTCTCTGGTGTCAGCTGAGGATATTGTGAATATCTTTTATAACTCTCGCCGTCCCAGGTGTTCCACAAAAAAAAAAAACATGAAGACAGAGTAACTTGTTAAAGAAGCAGTAGCAACAAGCAGTCACAACCAAGTTATTTCAGAGTTACCTACATTTTTTATAGAAGGTAGAACTGAGTAAAGCAGTGGACGAGGCATTGAAACAGCCCGACTGGCATCGTGGCTGCATTGGATTTATGCATCAGCTGGCCCGTAGTGTCATGAGACAGTAGTACATTCATCTGAACCTGTAGCTCACAGACTTAGGCCTGTAATAATAATAATAATAATAGTTGTTCTTATAGACAGTTTAGTTACCTTTCACTTGTGGGCTTAGTTTTACATGTCCACTTGCAATTAAAGGATCGATTTACCAAAATTACAAAACATAAGAAATTTCCTGCACTTATCATGCAAATGACTTAAATCTTATTGGTCCATAGTTGGGATATTTGTTTCTCAGACTTCTGGCTCCACCTTAATGCAATACAGGTGCATGGTCGTTTCTTCCAAGCACTCTGGAACTGTAGAAATTGTATTTCCATGATTTCCAGTCATAGTGCTGCCATTATTCTCCATTATTCACAGAAAACACTGTATGCAGTTTTCACAGGAACTTTTCAGTAGAAAGTAGTTTCCGAGGAAATCAAACAGTAGACTGTTTTCACGTTAAAGTTAGCATAGTGAATACCAGTATGTTCAGTTCACCTGAGATGATCATTTGAAAGGTCGAAACAATCCATGGCATCTGTGCTGACTTTCTGCTGATACTGTAATCTGAGTAATAATGAGAACTAGCCATTCACTTCAGTTAATTAAGTTAGCAAAGGGAATGCACTCACTACTACTACATGTGATGGATAGATGTCTAGTTTTTACTGAAAGACACCCTTGGCCCTCAAGAGTTATTTCTGACCAGTGATCACTGGTTGCCTTCCTTGCAGTCTGTTCCAACAGTTCACAGCGTGTAAGGTTATTCCTGTGTTGACACCTTTCCTCTGATCCTAACATCCTGTCACCATGACCCTTAATGGGTGACTGAACATCCTTGAAGGGAGCTAAATAAAAGGCCAGCACCGTGTTTCCTACTGATGTCACTAATGTGGTATCAGTAGTTTCTTAGTGAGAAGAGGATTTTCTGTTGCTCAGATTTGCCTGTTAGAGGTTGTCAGGATGTATAACGAGGAAAGGGAGGCTTCTACATCCCTTCCCACCCAAAGGACAGCATGGGGGGCAAGAGAGCATTGATTGAGAGCAACACCTGTCAGGTGAGGCTTTTGCAGTTGACGGTGCAGAAGGAACACCAAGTCGATTGCTAATCTGTGATGTGACAATCTGCTGGGATCTCTCCAGGGGGAAAGCGTCAGGAGCCTGAGCACTGAGACTTTTCCAGGGTTGCAGTCCTGCTAATGTTTTTCTGAACAGAATGAACTGCGTTGATATGCTCTAAATACATTTCATTATCATCATCATGATTATATCACTAATTGTGTGTACTCGATAATGTGCTGCAGCAGCCCCCTCCTGGGAGGTGTCTGAGAGACTGAATGATTAAAGCATGTATGATGAACCATGCATCAAAAAATCCCTGCGGGCATCCTCACAAGATACATGTAACGGCTCCACTGATGCTCACAGCCAGCAAACAGCAGAGGATATGGTCTACTGAGGGCTGAAAGGCTGAGGAAGAACCTGCAGGCAATAACAAGACAGCAGGTAGATATTAGAGATGCAGGGGATTGACCTGAGCTGACCCCATCCATATCCATAAACCCACACTACATAACCTATATACCTTCAGACATGACTCTGATGCAGCCTAAATAATTCCACTACCACAGAGTAAGTAAACTACAGGCTGAGGTTCAAATCATGGTTGGGTTTCCTTGGCCTGTGCGTGGGCCTGCTTCCATCTTTATGTGTGGTTGACTGGCGAGGATAAAGTTTTTGTGACAGCATTTGATGAATGTTTAATCCAACATTCATACATTCCAAGATGGGACTGGGTCCCCAGTCAAAACCCACCAAAGACACAGCAGGTGTGTGAAATATTCATTCACTACATGCTTCATTAAGAATGAAACATACCACGGTCCCCATTCATTTATTCATTTCGATTATCGAAACAAAAGACAGAAAAATGAGAGATTAAAACATGGCGGACGCATTATTCTGTATTTGTCTCGCAGATTTGTAACAATTTGTTTTGTGACAAATAACTGCCTGTTGAAAGCCTGCTGTCATCTTGCTGAGAGTCAGGCAGCTACTGCGAGAGGAGCTTTCATGTGAAGGCTGTAACAAATTACTGCCTGCCCAGGACTCTCCAGCTCTGTATCCAACTGCAGCAGTTTGACCTTTGACCAGTCCAGGAGCGTGCAGTGACTCGTCACTGATATATACATATATATAACCATATGAGCCATCAGCTGTGGATGGGACAGTTTTCATATTTTTTAATAATTAATGATGAAATCTGACAATTACTGATCTCTCTTGGTGAGGAGCGGCCAGACTCAGACATTTAAAATGACTGATGTCGTGCCTGTCAGGGACTGGACTATTTTTTCTTTCAAAGTGGTGAGTATGTGATTGTTGAGTGCCAGAGCTGGTTCAACATAGATCAAGGTTCTGTGAGTGAATGTGTCACATAGATTAAAAAATTTCCCCATGGAGATCATTAAAGTTTCATCTAATCTAATTTAATTAAAGCAAGGATGTGTAAGTCCTGACACACTGTCCATGGCTGTACTTGATGTTTTGTTCTGAGACATCTTTGTCAAAGTCAAAGCGCAAGCGCCACTCCACATTCAACAGACAAAAAAAAACAACACTTACAGATATTTTACATGCATGAATACATGCATGCACGCTGAATGTCCGATGCCACAAATACAAATATGGAATTGCATAACTAGGATATGAGCAAACAAATTCCTGCATCATTGTTGTCATGTTAAATTCAGTTCAGCTCAAGCTAACTTTAGTTTAATAGCAGTTCAATATAAATAACCTATAGTCTTTACTGTTTTTTCTCCTTAGCTGTAAGTCTGGCTTGTATCTTACTAAAATGTGGTGTAATTTGAAAAATATAAATTTGTAATTGTAATACTTATAAATATATGAGAACAAGACAACTGACGACCTGAGCTACATGTATTGCCGACATTCTGTTGAGGGTAAAGAACAACATCTTAGCGTGGGATGGTATTCTCACACATTTGATTGTGTTACTTTTTTGACAGCTACAGAGAGTGAAAGGCCAAAACCTGCAACAATCCTATTTTTATAATTACACACCTGTTTCACATGTTCACATTTAAATACCTATTCCTCTGGTGAGTTATTTAAGCAGAAGAGGCAGTTGTCCAATGCATGGACATTTGCTCCTTAGTCCTTATAATCTATAAACTTCTGATCTCAGATATGTTTCTTGCTTGTTTAATAAAAAGGCTCTTGAGTTAGACCTATGTAGCCTACTGTGTCAGCTGAGTTTCCCCCTTAGAGGTAAGGGTCACTGCAAATCAGTGCAAAGTTGTTGTGAGTGGTTGATCCTATGATGAAACAATTTTATACTGATAGGAGTGGTCTCTTCCAGGATGACACTCTCCCCATCCAAGGTGGGTGGTGCTGGGCTGGGAGGTGTCACTTAATGGTTTGATGAGTATGAAAATGATGGGAATCATATGCCTTTGCTGTCACTGCGTCTCCACCAGCATCATCAAAACACTAAATGTGAGGGAATAGCTTTTGGAAGAATGGCGTTCATCCGTCCTACTCAGTGCACTATTTCACTTTGCGGAGGAAGCCCGCCCCCTTTCTGTACTTCCTCGCTCGACGACGTCACTTCCACAGTACGGAAAACATGGCGGCTGCCAGTCCATCAGAGTCGGTGAACTCAGTGCCGATAGATGTGTTGATCAAGACGGAGCCAGAATCCGAGCGTGATCTGCAATTTGCCCAGGAGAATGTTCCAGTTAAACGAGACCCTGTCGTCCCTCTCATAGCCCCGGTTAGCGGACTGCAGCCGCTCACCTGGTCGCAGGACCACCGCCTGGCGGTATGCACCACCACCTCCTTGTCGCTGCTGGAGCTTGTGTGCGACGTCCACAGCAACAAACAGGACCTGGCGTTGCACAGGACTTCTATCCCCGTCCCCACAGAAGTTTATAAGCTGCGGGTAAAGGTCCACACATGTTCTCCTGTCCAAACCGCCTTAGCCAGGTAGCGCTGTACCCTTTGCATAGCAGGAGTGGCTGCAGACAGTAATGTACCTAATCGAGTCGAGACTGTGAGACTGGTAACTTAGCTTTGTGCATCGGCTTCCCGTTGCGTTTAGAAGTCGACCGTGTCCATAAACCTTTGATAAAGACTGTACGCTGCATGTTGTATTAGGAACGAATAACAGCTACTGACGGCTAAGATTGTTAGCTCGCTGGCTGCAGCATCCATAAGAGTTAAAGGGGCGTGCCAACAATTCTCCACATATTCTTTGCTGTATTTCCATAAAAGGGTCACCAACTCACCTCAGTCTCTCTTAATCTCCCCCCAAAAATCTAAGATGCTCCTGTCAAATGTCAGCCAAGGTAAAAAAAAATACAGTCCACTGGACAATGGATCAGCTGCAAAATACCTCCAACTTTAGAAAAACAAAACATTTCATTAGACTGTTACCAGATAGAGATAAACAATAAATCCCTTCACATAGAGATAAACAATAAATCCTTTCACCTCTTTCATATCTACATTATAATTGCTTCCCACTAATGTATATTTAGTAGTGTCCTACTGCTCATTTGAGTGTATTTGAATGTATAATGTTAAAATTGGTGATTGCTGAGATGTAGACTGTCAAATTCATACCAAATTTTTGAAAAAGCTAATTAATTATTGTGGATCTTAAACACGTACCAGCCAGAATCTGAGACTTACTTAAATTATTCATTGAATATGACATAAGATGCCACCTGCAGTCAGTTCTCTGTCTATATCTGTTGGAGACTAGTTTCTACACTACCAGTCAAAAGTTTGGACTGGTAGTGTATATCACTTGCTAGTTTCATATTGGACCATGTGATTTCCTTCCAAATAAGTTGAAGCAAAATAATGCTCTGTGCACATTTTTAAAACTCAGATTTAGGGTACGTGCTTGCAGGGAAACCGTCTCCCTTCAACAGATGAATGCGAATACAGTCAGTTAGTATCAGGCTTTATGCATGCATCATTCTGCACAGTGACAGTCAAACACCCAAGTAACAATGCAGAGCACTTTTAGTGGAGGGAGACTCCACTAAAAGTATTCTGAACAATGTGGCATATGGTTGTGTAAGCTTGCTTTATTTGGTGCAAGAACTGACTCATGTTTTCAAGATAGCATCCTGCTTCTTCTTCGTAGTGCAGTGACAGATTTTCTTTCCAGCAAATATACAAAATAAACTTTTGGTTCTCTGGCTGTGATGGAAAAGTGAAGTCCCAGGGTCTGTCTGAAATTTTTTTTCTTTTCAATGTTAGGCTCACACTCACAGTTGTCTGAAAAGTTTAAAACTGAAATGAGCAAAAGGCTGTGTGGTCTACAGAAGTAAAGAATACATCTCTCCCTCTCCAGCTGGATTATTTTTCACACTTTACTTAATATTACTAATTAACTATATGGAAGTATTTCATTGATTGCAAATGTGCAGTGGTCCGAGTATAGTACAGTGTTTATATGTCAAGTGTTTTTGAGCAGACTCGGGACCACATGGATATATTTCCACACAGTGCAAATACATTGGAAGGTATTACAAAGAAGTGACACAAGTGTGTCTCAAGAATCCATAGGTGATTACATCACATCATTGAGAGTATAGTAACGGCATTATTATTTGTGCACTTGTTAAGTGACTCATGTAAACACGCTTTAGGACCACAGCCAAGCTAATATTCACTTGTATGCTCTTAGTTTGGCAATGGTGAATGCTCCTGTGTTTTCATTATTTACAAAACTGAAAGAAAGATAATTAAAGCGATGGAATACAAATGTAAAAGAGAAACAAAAAAAACTATTTTGCTGTGGTAAATCTGTTTCTGTGTAGCTGCTCTAGTGTGTAAACATGATTTTTCTTTTTTTTTTATAGGTTCGTCTACATTCCAAAAATCCACTTGGCAGATAAAATGTTGGCTGGTGCTGAATTTTATAATCCACTAGGCACACTGACAGAAGGGTGAAGTTGGTTTCTTGCTGCCATTTATAGATATGAGTAACAATTGTAAAATAGGAGGGCTACTGAGCTGAGAGTAGTAGACACTGGTACACAAAATACAACCAACACATACTACCTGTCTGATGATACTGCTTTATCAGCCATTCAGGTGGGTGGGTGTTATCCATGTTCTAGTTGCAAGATCTGCTGCAGTGTCGGTGTATGGCAAGCCATCAAGTTACATTTGTAATTTGTGTGTTTGCCGAAATCTTCTCTTAAACCTGACCGTTTACCTCATTATTGATTTCATTTGTGTTTTTAATTGTTAAGGTGGGACCAGCAGGGGAGCTAGCTGAAGCGATGGAGAAGTTCTCAACACACCCAGACCCCGCTGTAAGGCAAGTTTTTCTGGCGGACACAGTGATCAACCCCTCAGTAGGAGTGCACAAAGGAATAAAATATGCAAGTTGGTCACCGTTAGGTTGTGACTCTAGTGGGCGCTGTCTACTCGCTTGCCTAACACTTGATCACAGACTTACCATTCATAACAGCCACAAGCGTCTCGAGTGGAACATGCTAGTCGATCTCACCAAAAAGTACAGTGAGAGGCTAAAGGAGCGCGGCTACGCCAAGAAAGACGATAAGCCACCTCAGGCAAACCTGCTGGACTTAGAAGAGCTGCAGCGGCGTTTCCGTATGCAGACTCCTTTGAGAATGGAGTGGTCAAGTGTTTACACAGTCAAACAGGTTCAACCGGACAACACATGTGTAGAAGAAGAGATGGTCCTCCTGGCTGTCTTGATGGAAAATGGTGACCTTGTTTTGTGGAAGTTTGTGTTGCCCTTTACAAATGGGACAGAGGTTGTGTTTTATGACATCATCGAATCAGGTGTGACCAGACCCAGTGACTTGGCCTGGTGGGAGTATGGAAACGCAGATCGACGAATGAGTGGCCTGATCATTGGCAGTGAGGTGGGACCTGTCAAGATCATGCCTGTCAGCCTGGTGGGAGTGAAGGGCTACTTCACCCTCCGACACCCTGTCATTCTCTGGAAGGAGTCTGATGAGATCGCTGTGGAAAACATCAAATGTGTCCCACTCATCCACCCAATCCATAAATCCAGCTGCAGCCTCATTGTTGCGTCACGCGGCTGCTATATCTTTTGGTGCTTGCTCATGATTTCACCAGCAGGACTAAATGTACACAATTCTCATGTGGCAGGGCTGCACTCGCTCCCTGTGGTCTCGCTAGCGGTCAGTCAACATGGTGTTGCAGTGTACAGTTGTTCCATAGATGGGTGGATAAAAAAGCTGACTCCAACTTTTACAGAAAACGCTTTGATTTTCAAGCAAGAGGACATGCTGGGACCCGAAAACCTAATAGGAAGGCGGATACACGGGATTTCAGTGAGCTGCAATGGAGCGTATATTGCTATGGTCAGCACGCAAGGTATTGTCGAAGGCTTTCATCCCATTAACAGGACCTACCAGGTTCACTTTGTCACCCTGAAAACACCTGAAATGGCAGCAGCGCTGCTGCTCAAGTCCCCCACACAGAACCTGTACAAGATGGCTGACCTGCTTGATCTGATGAGGTGGCAAATTTTGAAAAACAAGTGTATCCCTGCGTCACTGCAGGAAGAACTAGATCAAAAGATCCAGGAGGTAGACTCACCCTATCTGTGGCGTTTGAAGCTCTTTTTGGTGCGTATACTTTACCAGTCACTGCAGTCACCTCTTACTGATCACCACGGTAAACCTACAAACGAGGGAAGCAAGGTGTTTGTAACGGACGAGGAGGATGAAGAGGATGAAGAAGAAGATGTGCAAGAGGAAGGTGAGCCTGGTAGAGTAAAACAGGAGGAAGAGATTCAGGAGGAGCAGATGGCAGAGGTACAGGCTTGGATCAATGCTGTAGAGACCCATCTAATGAGAGAAAACATGAAGAAGGTGCTGGGGGTGGTGTACCTCAACACTTGGATTGCTCAGAACACCAGCATACCTACCTGTGGCCTGGTGGAGTACCTCTCCAAAGACACTAACGACAGAGCTTCAGAGGTAAAAGGGTGACTCAACTAATAATTATTTACTTCAGCTTTTTACCACAAATGTCCTGACCTGCTTTTTACATACCCTGATCACAGTGATGTTATGTACACAGATCAGCCATAACATTATAACCACCTGCCTAGTACTGTGTACGCAGGAGTCAGTGCAGCAGTTGGTTGGCGCTCGTGTCACTCTGATGCTCTCAGCACATCTTGTGCGATTCCGTTTGCTTGCATAGTTCTACTGGAACTCAGGAAGAGTGTGTCGACCATTCAGTGAAAAACTTGTCTAAAAAACAGTGAAACTGTGGTCGTGAGGACAAGTTAGAGAAGGGTTAGGGTTTTAGGCACATCCAACAGCCTCCTCACTCTAGGTGTGACAAGAAACATCCATTCTCTTTTAGAAAATGAGTGAAAGGATAAGTATGGCTGTTTGTGATTAGAACACGAGCACTCAGGTACATTAGACAAAATCCAGTGTTTAGATTCTGCCGTTCTGTCACCCTTGGCCCAGAAGTGGCCCAGCCCCTCCTCAGCTACTTCCGGTTGAAAAATGCAGAAGTGTGTAGGCTGTGCAGGAGGGCTGAGTTTATTTTAAATTACTTTACTGGTTAGACTTTTTACTTGCAGTGCAGCTTGACATCACTACTGAGGATGCATGTTCAGGGGATCTTTAACTGAAATGAAGGAACCCCAGCCATAAAAAAATAAAAATAAAAAAACAACTAAGGTACATAGAACCATGTGGCCATGGGTGTCTACATACATTTGGCCATATAGAGCTTTTCAGTATTTATTATCCCATAATTGCTGCCTGTGTCCACAGAAGGTGCTGAGCAAACATTAGAGTGCTTTTTGGTTTTCTTTTTAACAAACTGCAGAAATATCTGAAATCTCTGTTACATATATAAATATACAGAATTTTATCAGTTACACACACTACTATTGTAGTTTCGTAAATGTCTTTGTATGATGGTAGGTGCCATCAGGTGAAGAAGATGCAGTGCATTTGGCTAAAATAAAGGAGCAGATGCATCTTAATGCCACTTTGCACAGCGCACACTGCTGATCAGTCACAGCACTAAACTCGCATTCTTCTGTGCTGCTGTTATAAAAGTTGGAAGAAAACTTTGTGTTGCGTTTTCCTTCACTTACACACTCTGGCTTTGCGTCTACCATCCTTCTCAGGTCCTGATTGGCCACATCAAGAAAAAGATGAACAAGCAGACGTTCTCGGAACACTGCAGCCTGTGTCAGGCCGTGCTGCCCTTCACGGACCACAAACAAGCAGTCTGTAAAAACGGCCACATGTGGCTCAGGTACATGGATTATTTTTGATTTTTGAATAATGTCCAAATGTTCAACTTTGATCCACTAAAGATGTTGTTTATTAGCGTAGCGTAGGCACTCTGTTGGTTCGGACGCCACAGTTGAGCCAGCGAGAACATGAATTGAATCTTAATGCCAAATGCCTTCTTTGACCGTTTATTTATCTTCACCGAGCAGTAATCAAGCCTTCTGCCTCTTGATATTTACCCATGCACCACTCTTATCATCTCATAAATATTTCTCAAACATTTCTCCTGCCTTCTTGCTAGATAAGACATGCTGCCTCTGGTGGGCACTGGGAGGAAAATCAGTGCCTGGTAGTTGTACCTAGTCCAGTTTCTGCTCTACTTTTCTCTGCATGTGCATCTGTCCCTGCCATCCTGCTCTCTAATGCTGTCCTCTCGGTCTCCTCCAGGTGTGTGTTGTCGTACCAGGCCTGCCAGACGCTGACGTTCAGACGTTGCCTCCTGCTGGATACCATCGCCAGACTGCCAGAGCCTGAGGGTAAGTGCCACTCTACATCTCTCGCCACCTCCATTTCACAGTCACACTCAATCAGCTGTCTCCTCCTGTCGCCTTCAGTGTCAGCCTTCATCCTGCTCTGTGCTCAGATCATCGCTTGGCATTTTGGATTCCAAGTCAGTCAGAAACTTAATACTTAAAATCATGAATGATTGTTGAAATAAGAGAGGGATTTTGCAATGTTAGGTCTTTTTCTTCTTTCTTCCAGGACATCTTCTTTAAAGTCAATAGTTGAGTCAGTGGTCAGAAAGCACAGTTTTCTCTCCCTTTCTTGGTTGAGGCTTGAGATTTGTATCACTTGTGTCCCATTATACCAACACTTTGTACGACAGGCTTAACATATTCACTGTAGCTGGGGCATTGTGAGCACAGGTGCAGGAGTATGGCCTCATTCAGTTCGGTCCAGTGTAACTCAGTAGGAGGCAGTGTATGGGATGATTGTACATCACCAGGCCGTGGGAAAGTTTTGAGGCAGCCAAAGCTTTTTATTTTAACAGGTTAAATGCCAAAACGGTTGATTACAGTTTCTTAAACATCAGTGATAACCTGATTTCCCCAGCTAGATTTTTCCTAGAAAAAGGAGATTTCTCTGCCATCTTTTAAATGAACTGGGTTTCTGATCATCTTTTTCCATGTATTATGAAAACCTGAGATAAGGGAACGACAGGCGTAACAGCAGGGCAGTGTGATGACAGGAGAGACCCTCATAGAGATGCATCTTTGTATTCTAAGTAATCCTATACAGAGTCTGCACTACCATATAACCTTTGGAAGCTGCTTTCTTGTGTGCATGTAAAAGCGCTGGCAGTTAGAGACTGTTATTTGCTTGGACTGAGGCCATTTACCTGATTGATTAGAACTCTGTCGTTTCTGTGCTCGTTTTGGCCAATACTCAATTATTTCATTAGAGATGAGTAAAATGCATTTTGTCAGATACATTTCACATGTTTTCAGACATCTCTGCTCTGTCCTTGAAATATAATGAATGTCAGCAAAACATTGAGTCCAGTTTTAGGATGATTAGATGCTAAAAAGTTGGTGGCTATTTCATGAACCCTGAATTTCCTGTAGTTTTGCCAAACAAACAGCAGGTGTGGTACCAGCCACAGTTAGAGGTGGGAGAGGAAAAACATCGTCCTCGTGCCAGTATTTGAGCACCGGCTTCATCTGGCTGCTACTTGAATCCCAGTATCGGCCTTTATCGGTCTTGCCTGAGGCACAGCTCTCCTGGTCATTCCAGCCTATCTGAGCTAAAGGCTGACAGGTCCGTGCGGTTTTGGCATCTGTCACAACCAACACCGTCTCAGCTCCTGTCTCACAACATCTTACCGATGTTTGTGCTCTTCTCTGTTTGTTTTAAACCCTGTGTGTTTTAACTTTTATTGTATTTAGTCTGTTTCAGATGGGAAATATGCTATATTGCTGGCTTCATTTACTCTGAGTAAAACCAGTGGTCTTTGGCTTTCAGACATACTGTTTGTTACATAAATGTATATAGAGAGGCGAGTTTAAAAGTAAAAAGTTTATTTGCTCACCTGCAGTATGCAAATCATTTTGCTGGATATTAATAATCAACTAAAGTGAATATTGTACAAGTGCTTTTTTTAAAACCTGTTTTCACCTGCACTGTGAGGGGAAAGTCAGGTTTATTGTCATGGCCTTTACATCGGCATGATGGCACTCGTTTGAGAAAAGTGGTGTTGAAAGTGTTATGCAAATATTACTAGGTCCTTCCTACACTGCCGCCATGTCTTTTATGGAAAAGTGACATTCATTTAAACACCAAGACAAACATAGCCATCATATTTACATAATGAAGTGAAAGGCTTTAAAGTAGTTCTCATCATTTAAAATGTTGAACCTTCAGTAAAACATGGCTTGTTTTCTTTACCCACAGATCCAGAGTGGATAAAGAAGATGCTGCAGGCGCCCTGCACGCTCTGCGACTCGCCGATGATCTAGAGCTGAACCTCAGGGTTCCTCTGTAACCCTCAGCACTTCCTGCTCTGACACAGGATCTGGTTTTGTCAGAAGTCACTGCTTCAGTTATTTTCTTATTTCATGTAGTTTGTTCATGTTTTTTTTTTAATGACTTTATATTGGTTTCTAAAATTGCAAATAAAAGGCTTTGATTATTATACGCCAAACTCTTATTTCCTTGTGACTGCGCAGAGAAGCCGCTTCCCCCTGCCATGGTATTAAATTAATATTTTACTGAGGTAAAACAGTTTGGACTCAAACTTTACAGATTTCTTTATTTTTCCCCTCTCTAAAATTAATTCCCAGTCAGACACAGTGTTTGCACAAGGGTGCAAAGAAACAAAGTTTAAAATGTGGTTATATGAGGAGGTTTTTATTATTCAGTGGGACTTCAGGGCGCCATAAATAAGCTCCCTCATTTTCCTTATGTTGACTGTATTTCCAAAGCTTTGGTGTAGTTTTTATTTTTATTGCAAGTAAGTGGAACTTGCATTGCTAGTCCTATTTTAGTGAGGGTCTTTTTTTTTTTATTCTTCTTTTCTGAGTGCAACAAATAAAACACTCTGAATAATACATGCTCTGGAAAAAACTCAACATACCTGCTTTAATTGGCACTGTAAAACAATTTCCAAGCTCTGGAAGGAGGAGGAGGAGGGTGGTAGTGCTCAGTCATTCTCTCAGATGAGGACTTCCGCTAATGTAAACGCAGAAGAGAAGGAGCGGTGATGCAGATGAGATGAGCAAGAGGCAGGAGGAAAGCGAAAAGTGTGCTTAAAAACCCGGCACAGTCTCTCCCATGGGAGCGGGTTGTAATGAGATTCAGCCGTAATGAGGGACAGAACATGGCGCCAGATGTGATTCTAATTCTAATCAAGGAGGGCATGGTGATGGGGGTCGGGAGTATATTGTTAAATACAATTAACCCTTTTTTCATATTTTGGTTGGAACAAGGGCTGCAGGGACGAGATGCAGGCTCTGCAGCATGTTCTCCGTCCCTCCCCTCGGCCCCGGCTCCTTGTTTTGGAGACATGGAGGTCAGCGGCAGGTGATCAAAGAGGAAACTGGGCCAGCAGCAGAGCCTCCTCTGTCCAACGCTACCTCTCTCATTCCTCACACACCCGGTCCTGCAGATGTGTCAGATGATAGGCTACCCTGGGGCAAGGAGAGAGGAGGCTGCCCAGCTCCAAACCCTGAGGATTTCATGAAGTGGGACCTGTTTATTTTTCAAAATGCAGTATTTCTCAGTTCAGTAGTGGCATTTATTGGCCCAAGATACAGAAGATTCAGTCCTATGGAACAAAAGGGTGTCTCCTATTTTACTAAAAAGTGACCCATTTATAACAGTATTCTGACCATGGCTGGGAGAGGTGCAGTGTTTTAAAGTAAGTGGCAAAATGAACACGAGCATGGGTCAAACAAAACAAACAATTGCCTAGTACAACTAATATTTATTTTACTGGCTCCCTATTAAATTCTGCTGTAGAACTTGATAATCTTCCTGGGATTAAAATGTATGAAAAATAATAATAATAAGCAGGTTACAATTAAAAAATCTTAAATAGATGAGCTGTAAAAGTAACAGTTCCTTAAATGAATGACTGACCTGACCATCAGTAATAATAAGATACATAGATACATTATTGGGATAGACCTGAATTTCCCTTGGGATCAATCTATCTATCTACCTATCAGGTACTCTGTAAATAACAATATTTGCTGTAAAAGTAACAGTTCCTTAAATGAATGACTGACCTGACCATCAGTAATAATAAGATACATAGATACATTATTGGGATAGACCTGAATTTCCCTTGGGATCAATCTATCTATCTACCTATCAGGTACTCTGTAAATAACAATATTTAAAAAAAAAACATTAGTCTAGCTGGTTTCCAATAATGAAAAAAAAAAAGATTAAGCCATACCTAAAAATAGAACTTTCGTAATTAAAACATCAATGTTATAGTGTTTACTCAATTTATCCTTCTGAGGAGCACAAACCATAAGGTGAGTTTGATCTTAGAGTAAATAGGTTTAAGGAAAGACAAATTCTGTAAAGGATTTTTATTTTTTTTATTGATAATTAAAACAAAAAATATAACAAAAATATTGATGAATACAGAGTCTTCACTTTGAAAACAGTAGTTTGATCAGAAATGTCTTAACTCAAGGCCAACTTACCAGGACGGTTTTTCTGGGCAGGTTGTTTGCTCAGTTACTGAATTAATAAAAAGCTATTAAATGGACCTTGACTTAAGTTTGTTTGTTTTTGGACACTTTGTAAAATTGTGGCTTTCCATGCATAATATTCGTGATGTTTTTAATCTCTGTGTGACTCCTGCCCTTTCCCAGCCTTAACCAGGAGTCCTAAAACATGACCAAATACATGTGACAGTACGTCAACGTGATTTGACAAAGAAGGGGAAAAATAAGTGCAGTCACGTCACTGTCAGTCATAGAAAAAGAAATAAAAATGTGCAGCTTCTCTATGTGTACTAACTGGAATTGATGTTACAAATGCAGTCTTCTCATTTGGTTCAGTGATACTTTCCTCACATATTTTCATACAAGAAAAGATATGCTCAAAGAAAAACATGAATCATCCTGATTATTCTAAAAACAGCTGAACTGTAAGATTACTTTTGTGAAAGGAACTGAGTTCAGCAGTTCATTAAAACTGCTTAAATTTAATTACACGTTTTAGACAGTGTTCCAAAAAGTATAAGCAAGTAACAGCCTTTTAATTAGTTTTTAATCAGCCCTGGCTGTGGTATGTTTGTAGTGTTTGGTGCCTTCATGGTTGCCAGGGTGTGTATGTTTGTCAAGTAGAAGTGGCTCCTCAGGTTGTAATGATCCTGTCACTGCTAGGTGGGGACCAGCACTGTTACAAAGGTTAGCTGTGTTTGGTTGATCCACCTCCCGCTTTAATATAATAATCCGTCAAAGAGCATCTCCACTAGTAATTACCTGCTTCCCCTCCTTTTCTCTCTCACTGTCTTTGCTCTCAAGACTTCAAACAGAGGATTTTTCTCCTTGCATGCAATATTTATATCCTTTATGTCAGTGGCTAGATGGCATAAAACATTCACACCTTAATTTCACCTGATATTCCTTTTGTTTTGTTTAGACTACATTTTGAACACGATATGTCCCAATGTTTTCTCTCAAGAGTATAGATTCATTTTGTTGCTTTTGAATATAACAATTTAGACTGTGAAACATGACGTTTCTCTGCCTCAGACATGCGACTGCATCACCCGGTGGGATCACAACGTTGTGTCTGAGTCTTAGTGCTTTTATGAGTCTCCTATTGATTCTGAAAAACTTTCGGGTGCAGTTTACAACTGGAATGTTCAGTGCAGTGATAAGCAGCGTAGTGTACAGTCAAACTACACAGATTTGATCCTACAGTACTTTGGGCTACTACTGAATCCTACAGTTTACAGATGTCATAGTGCCATTTCACCTGTTTCCAAATCAAACTGTCTTTGTCTTGTTTCATGCTTTCAAAGCACATGTAGAAAATTCTTAAAAGAAGTGGAATTATCTCGGCCAAATGGCAGGACTTTTCTAGTGTTCTGAGACTGATTCAAGCTGAAAAGCATTGATCTCAAGAATTATGTAACGTCTAAAAACCAAAACCATTAACTTGATTGTTCAGATATTGTAGCAGTAATTAACAGTGGATTTGCAGTGCTGATGGCCACTTTATTAAGCTCTGCCAGTGTGTTCAGATTTTTGACACTGCCATAAAGCTACTAATTCTATTATATGTTTTAGCACTGAGGTCAGAGTACTGTGCTGTAGTGTTCTTCATTATATTCATCTGAGTGTTACTCAGATGTGAGTACTAATGTATGTAAATGGGAAGTACAAAATATTAAAAACACCTACTGTATCAATACAACATGGTCCAGTAAAGCAACAACATTTTAAACTATGACTTCAGTAATAAATATTTAATCTAATTTACACATTTCTGATGCCACCAAAACTGAGGCATGAGCTTTATAAAGATAAATGTCATAGCAGGGTTTTTGTGCAGACTGTGGAGGTTTACCTAATAAAGTGGACACTAAGTAAACAGTATTGATTGATTGATTGATTGATTGATTGATT